GTCGACCATGACCAAGTATTTTGTCCTCCACTAATGAGGCAGTTTCCTCCAAGTTTATGTGGTTATTTCTTTAGAATGGACATTTCTTGCAAATTCTTTTCAAAGTCCTGGTGATGTTGATGAGCCAAACTCTCAAGTATTCAACCACTTTTGAGACCTTTAGTAAAGTAGAAGTGAACAAGATGCTCCACTCATCGAATAATATAACATCTTCATTAATGTAAAATTAGGAATCAAATTTCTTGATATTAAAATTTTGCTCTTGATATATTACAGCTTTATTGTTCTGATTTTATTTCATAATATATTACGCATATGTGAGAAATTATCTACATAGGTTACTTCTATACGCTCTCTTTTGTCATTATATTTGTAATTAGTATGTTAATATGTATCCAAATATAAGCAACAATAATAATGATAATATGAATTAAGTTCATTTCAAACAGAGAACAGATCAACTCGCACATATCAAAGACTTAGCTGGTGCAGGCGTCCACTATACTCAACAGAACCACCATCAAATGTTGTGTGTTTACTAGACTGGATGTTTTTAATGCGCTTCAACTACGCTCACTCCAGTAATTGCATCCTTTGTAATTATCCTTCATTCTCTCAAGCTAATGAATGTTTTAATGCTCACATTAGAGCATTCGTTTAGCACATAACAGCATTTTGATTACTACAAGCCACTTAAGATCAATTTTGCTTTGTGACCTTTATGATCCGGGCTGAATGCCCCAATTAAATGTCATGAATGATGAACCGCAAACTTCTGAGAGATGAAATTGAGATGAGGAAAAGGAAGTTTAATTTGGCACAGTGTGCATGTATATACTATATGCCCCCCCTACAAGCTCGTACTGCAGATCAGATGAACTATTTGTTATGTGCCTTTGACATGCAACCTGCAGTAACCTCCCATTAATTGCATTATTCATATTCACCGTATCTGACAAAAGATTCTGCTTCTATCCCGCGTGCCTCGTGAAATGTCATTACCGTTCTCTGCAGCATCCCTACGTAGGTTTTATCCTTTTCCCACAGAAACCAAAAGTGATGTAAATCATAATAAACACAGCGACAGACAGCTCTGTCCTCGATTGTCCTGTTCCGTCATAATAATAAATAACCTCAGCAACTTATAAAAGGGATAATTCTACAAAAGACATATGGTCCAAATTGATTTCTTCATCGTGGAAGCTCACCACAGAGCTGCCCCCCCCCCTCAACATGTCCCCATTAATTGGCCTAATGTATGAATGATGTGTTGGCCTGGCTATTATTGCAATCTGTCTCTGTTGTCCCAGGTCTGTGGTTGTATAGTGCACAGGTAGTCTGAAGCCTCTGAGGTGGCAACAATCAACCAAGACTTGGATATACATAATGGATGAGGAAGAGCATGCCAGGGAGCCAGCTGGCATGATATAAGAGGAGGGCTGTATTCAGCTGTAGACAAATGTGCAGAGACAGTCCAACCCACATGGATCGGCTTTGGGAATCCTGCAAGGTTAACACTCTGTTGGAGCTGTACGAGGTTTGACTGAGCATGTAATGGGAGAGGATGAGACAGAGGTCCTTTTTTATTGTTTACACTATCACCTATGATACATTGAACTACTGAGCCGCGACCTGCTGACTTGCACCTGCATCCACATCTCTTATCCTCCCTCCACGCCTTCGATGAGAAATTACATTTCTGCATTGACAAAAATGAGGGCCACGACGTGTAGGACACACTGCCAGGGTCATGTTCTGTAGGTTTAGAGAATAATAATGCACTGTTGTTATCCATATTCTGCTGCTGGTCGATTGGGGTAGTCTCGTAATTCATGGAAACTGTTACAAATGCTTCAAATGACCCTTGTTTATGGTTTTTGAGTTCAAGACAAGCATGTGACATTATAGCGATGCAAATAACCTCATGGAGGTTGCTGGGGTCAATAATGAAAGAGTCTGTTTCTTTTAACATTAACCTTTTAAACATTATGACATTATATAGTTTGAGGGCACTTTCCCACCTACCTTGTTTGCTCTTTAACTTTTTTGTTTTGGCAAAATCTAAATATCAGGTGTGAAAGGTGCTTCGGATGACGGTTCAGACCAACAGACCAAAATTTGGTTTTTGACAAAAGAGGTGGTCTTGGTCTGAATCAAACTGAACCATGTTTTTTTATTTTTTATTTTGGATAGTTTGAATTTCCTGACCAATTGCAGTGAGATGAGACTTTTAGCGCACTCCCTAAATTACGAAACCAAAACTAATCAGATCAAATGTGAACAATCTTACAGAGACACAACGCTTAGACATGAAGGTTCAGACGTGTGAAAATTAAACTGAAACAAACTGTTACTTTAGAGGGAACAGCGTTGGAATGCACTAACAACCTAATTTAATTTAGTGATTATTCTGTCAGGAATTCAATTTTTGGCACTTGCAAAAGACACACTTTACACATGCTTGCTTTTCTTACTGCTTTGTTGAAGTAGATTAATGGTGTTCACTGTCTTTGAAATTCTGGAAAGACACAGAAATCCCTTTTCTCCTTGGATATAATAGCGACTCTTTGGGGCTTTCCCCCCCCTCATATTCTCCTTTGCCAGATCCGAATTAAAATAAAACAAATTATAGTTGGAGCAAGGATTAGATTTTGTCTTACTTTACCCAGCAGATGTCAAACTCAATTGATATAAAACAGAAATTCAGCTTTTGTGTGTATTTCTTTTAAAGATGTTTCTCTTTACTCCACCGTGGCTTCTCAAAAGGATTTAAAAGGTCATTTTAATATCCTTTTTCCTGTCTCACTATTTTATATCAAACTCCAAACACATCCAGACAAATTCCCTTATCTTTAATACAGAGCTGGAGGAAAAGAGCGAGAGTAGATTTCAAAAAGTGCCTTACAGAGTGTTTCGTCTAATTTAAGACGGACCGGCAGATGTATTTTTATCATCATGACTTGTGTGTGTCGAGCATCCAGAATCACACATACATGCTGTAAAAGCAGAATATCCTTGGGCTCACACGGGCACATTGACAAACTACCTTTGTGAAGAAAGAGCAGGGGAAACTTGTATTTGCATCAGATGCTCACATATGGCAATGCTGTTATGGTCACCCGAGGGGATTCTCGTGAGCAGAGAGAGGGAATGGACATGTACGAGAAGCACAGGACAGATTTATCTACAAACAAAACAAAAATCTCAACACAGAGAAAAAAGAAAATACGAAAAAAAGCTGCATGAAATGAACAGACTCAGTGACAGTGTCCGACCAGCTGTTCATCAGAGGGAGAGAACAGCCTGCCTCAAGCTCGGCCAGTCTGCAGTTGGACTGAAAGATAGCCTAAGGTTGAATCTAACATTTTTCCTTGGCTCCTACAAGAAGGCACCACAAACCGGAGAAGAAGGACAGTTGCAGCCCTCTGCCAAGCAATTAACTGGTGATTTGGCACAGCGGAGGTTTCTTCCCAGGTGTCCCACCCTCTTCCTCGCATGGAGCTTGTGTTGCTCCACGCCTCCCATTTCTCCTGATGGCCTCACAGGCATCGAATTAGTCGTGCCAATGAAGCTTTTCATTTGGCTGTTTAAGGGGAGATGGAGAGGAAGTGTTCCCACACTTAGCCCTGGCAACCTCTGCCGAGTGGACTACATTCATTTTGTCATCTGCATTGCTCAAGAAAAGGATTCTGTCATGCAATATAAATGGCTGCTGGAGAAGGGCACAGCGGCTCATGCATATTGTGCTCTCCCCAGCTCTCCTTACCCTGTGACAGCGTAGATTTACAGGTAGATACGGGCTTTATATTCACAGCGGAGGAAAAATGTGGAAAAAAGGCAATTGACTGGCTTCATTGAATCCAAATGAAATGAATGAAAAAGCAAAGATTTAAGTGATTCATCATGTGTTACACCTTTTCAACAAGTACAAAGAAATGAAGGTGAGTTTTTTTTTTTAATCTGATAGAATCTGGTGACTTTCAAAATTGGTTCTGCAAAGTGAAATATTAAAACACTACATCTCTTGTACACCAGAGAATACAGAAAAATCATTAAAAAAAAGCATGGGCTCAATGACTTTTGTGTGAATTTAAATCGTCGGGGCTACACTAACACCAGAGTCTCTGTTTAAGATACAGTGAACTTTTGTTTAATTGTATTTGGAAGTAATATCATCTCATAAGACACCTTAGACCTCATTGCTGAATCCAATCACTTGTGAGGGATAAGGTATTTCTTCAAACCAGAGTGAACCTCTCAATCTGCTGGTTCACTCTGGCATCTTCCCCTCTCTCTCTCTCTCTCTCCATCAATTGTTATTCAAAGGGAAAGTTCATCTTCAATCACAGAACCAATGATATTGTATTAGCAGCTACAGCATAAATGAAATGGGTAATATGCTGTGAGAAACACTGAGAGATGAACGCCCCCCCGCCCAACCCTTACACGACCGGTCCACTGCTACACCCCCTTTCACCCCAATTCCAATTTATCAACTCCAGACTTTGTCACCTTTAAATTGGATTTGGCTGGCGAGAGCACATTATAATTCATCCTGGCTCGGGCCTTGTTTCACGAGGTTGCAACAGTGCGCCTCCTCTTCAGAGTGATACGCAAACAGCCATATAAATGTAGGGCAGACAAAATGCTAATTAAGCCAAATCATCTCACAATCCACAGGCGTTGCTGTGTTGTAAACAGCACTGTCAATTGAAAAACAGCCTCTCTCTGCTTTGTCTGTGCCGTGGGACGTCAGCGGAGACATAAATTCATTAAAAACTCGACGATATGGGGAAATGCGCTTCCCTCGTTTCCTCAGCTTTTCCCTGCATTCGGTGAAACTGTGCTCTCTCAGGCAGGCAGGCAGGCAGGCAGCGACAGTTTGGTGCATTAAAAATGTGAAGATTTAATGAAGAAGACTCCTGTAGTAATATAATCTGGCTCAGACATCTTTATCACATCTCATCATTAAGGCCATTAGCCCCGGGAATATCACTCACCTTTCTTGTCCCCGAAGAACAGAGTCTGTTGTGCAGGGTTTGACCACTGGAGGGAAGTGTTATCATTGTAATCCACACGACAGGTCATGTTGGCTGCACCCCCCTCCACCACCGTCACATTCTGAGTTATGGGGAACTGACCTTGGCTACCTGTGGGGAGAGTGAGACACAGTTTGAGGTCACGGCTGTGGCATGAATAACGCGTCACCTGCTTCGGACCGGTTGTTGCCGTCTTTTCATTGAGTCACATCGGTGCACCATTCAGACTTGACACCTCTCAAAGTTAATGTTCTGTCATCATCATCGCCCAATTACATTAATGTCTTCATTACATCACAGTAAACCAAAGATAGCTTAATGGGAGCCAGGCTGACATGGACTCCAGCCGTCGACATCTGTTGGAGCCAGAAAACCATGGGGTTTTATTTATGCTGGAAACAATGGTGGGTTTTACTCTCCCAGAGTGCCTTCCTCACTGCCTTATTGCAGGGCCCTAATTGGTAGCATGGCCTAATTAGAGGTAGTCATGTTCTGCTGTAGAGTCTGGAGCTGCAGCTGGGTGGTAAATTGACACATAATCCTAGACACTGTGGGCCTTCGATCCGAGCGACTGCCTTGCCCCAAAACAGCCGCTCGTCACAGTGTGCAGAAGACATCCAAATGAGGCCTAATCACCCAGCCTTGCTGGATTTTACCTTCTTATTCCACATTTGTACTTGACGTCTCAGCAAAGTCCCCTAATTACACCGCAGAAGCATTTCTATCCTGCCCGTATTTTATTGAACTCTGCCAAGCTTCAGAGACAGATGTCCAAAACCAACAATCGTTTGCAGGGGATTGTGAGAAAACAACGCGTAGGCTAATATGAGCCTGACCACACCGGCCCCTTTGAGAACTCTGTGTTAGAGTTCATCAAGCTTCAAGCTGAATGTGCTTTTATTTGCCTCTGAGCTATTCGCTGTCCTCAAGCTAATCTTTGAACATATTTTCACTTGATTTCACAGGTCTGCTTTGGTTTCTACTTGTAATGTGCCTGAATACGAAGGTGACATTGTCTCTGCCTCTCCCAGGTACAGTTCACCACAGGGAGATTTTAGCTAAGGGAGCAGCTGTCTGCCTCATTAGTCCGGCTCACACGGGGAGCAGAGGAGGCCGGGACAGCCAAAGGTCTGTGCCCCTTCCTTGACCTCGATTGTCCTGATGAAGACCATTGTCAGCTAGAGGTGAAGGTGAGGCCGACTATAAATAGCAATGGGAGGCGAATTCAAATGGTGCATTACTTACCTGCTCATTGCATCCAATCACACAGCACCACATCAATAAATATGTCACCATTTCATCGTATCATCATTATAACAATTGAGATGCAGTTAGCTGGGTGTCAGCAGGTAGACCAACAAACTCAGCCGTGTGTGTCATTACATTAAAAAGGGAAGTGGATGCATCCTGTGTGGGGAACCATGTGGAGTTGTTATTGTCAGTATCTGCAAGTTTTCATCTTTCATCTAGCCCACAGTCTCTCCAGTAGTGTGCATCTCCAGTGTATACTCCTCACTATTCACAGAAATGCATGGAACGAATGTAAAATCCAAACATTAATGAATATAACACTCGGGTAACACTGTGGTAGGATTGATTTGGCAAAAAACCCAACAACAACCTGTGGCTGACATTTCCTTTAATTATACCTGCGAGGCCAATAAAGGCTGTTCACTTAATCAGAAGTACAGCCATGTCGTGGGTGTTGTTTTCACAGAAGTGCGAGTGCAGGTTTGGGTGCACTGCAGCTAACTGGGCTTCACCTAATGCATTCATGAAATTCCACTGCCTTGACATTCTGTAGCAGTGTAGAGTGTAGCAAATGCAGTCCTTTCTGAGGAAACGTAATCCCCAGTGCCAAATACACTGGTGATTGGGGGGCAGCTGGCTTTACTTTTACAGTACAATGCCAAACAATATTCAAGAAAGTTACTGAACTACAAACTGCTCCAAGGACACTGCTACGCTGCGTGACCCTGTGCACCGACCTCGCTTTAAAGAAGTATATTTTCGGGTGTGTGACGAGGAGGGGTATTCCACAACGTGATTTAACTTGTGGCACATTTTCCGGAAAAATATGTGGTAGCACTTTACAACTTGGTAAGAGAGTAATAAAGGGTTATTGTCTTGTAGCAAACAAAGTAATACTGCAATAAAACCATGAAATATAATATAAAAGGTAACAGCAAGACAACATGTTTTAACATGAAACACATGGTAGAAGCTTTCACTAATAATCACAGGCTAAATAAATAAAGATGGATGACATCTCTCCACTTGACGGTGCTACCGTGTTTGGCTTGTAACAGCATTTTTACCAGCGTCTGCACAGTAGTGATCACGGTGCCGCAGAATGAAGGTTCAGCCAAAACAAGCGCTCCATCGTTCTTGAGTCAGTTTTCAATTACAAAGTTTAACCCCATTTTTCTGTTGCATTAAATAACCAAATTGAAACCAAAATTCCTGAGAAATTAAATCTTGATCGTATGTTAGTGAGATAAAAACTAACCTAAAGTGACAGAAACCATCTGCGGAAAAAACTTGATTGACACGTGCTTTGTCCCATCTGATAACATGGAGGAGGAGGGGTTTTTGACCTATACTGCAGCCAGCCACTGTTCTGGATAAGAAGGATATAATAAAAAGCTTCTATAGGTAAAGGCAAGTTACAGAAGATTACGTCTTCCCATGTCTGTATTTTCCCATAAAAACAAAACCCAGAGAAAGGGAACAAACATTTCTGAGAGAAGTAATAAGAGCTATGAAGGTTGTCTGCTCCACAAATGATCCAAGATGACTCAGTGGAGTGCAGTGATGAAATGAGGAATAAAACTGCACTTTTGCAATATGCCAGGACAAAACATCCCTTAAACACAAAGCATATCGGCTCAGAAGGCTTGAGAATATCAGGCTGGAGCCTTTTTGCAGCACTCAGACTGAGACTTTAGAATTTCACTAAATCAGATGGAGCTACTTATTTTCATTCAAGGCCACCAGCAATGTTGAGCAGATATTTACAGTAGACGGCGGACAGCATGAGTGCCATGACAATGAAGGGGTGAGTTGAGGATTAAGCAACCTGAGAAATCTTGATGAAAGTATAGCTGGCACTCTCTAAAAACATTTAAACCATGAGCATTCTCTTTTTTTCTCCACTCTGGCGACTCCTTTATCCCATGAATATTATGAAGTCACATTGATATTTCTGTCTCCCTCCTTCTCTTTCCGATCCTGCCTCCCAACAGGTTCTCAGAGGAGGTTAAGACCAAAAACATGAAATATCCATTGAGCTGAAGTTAAAATTTAACTCATATCAAATCCAAGCTTTTGATTTGTTTTTTTCTTTTTCTTAAAGCTATAATTGGTCTCCACAGACAGCGTACAACCTGGCATGACAGTGAAGAGGTGAGCTGAGCTCTAAAAACATGAATACTACCAACTTTTTCTTTTTTTTCTCCACTCTGGCGATTCTGCTTCTTTATTCCATGAATGTCATAAAGTGCTATAGTAAAAGAAAAAAAAAATCAATATGAGATAAGTCACACTGATGTTTCTGTCTCCCTCTCTGTCTTTCCAATCCTGCAGAAAAGGAGGTTCAGACTAAAACAATTATGAAATTAACCTTGAAATCAAACTGAACTCAAATCAAAATCCCAGTTTTTTTATTGTTTGATTAAAAAAAATATATTCCAAACCCCATCCTGCTCATGCTCCCAACTCTTCAAGCTATAATTGGTCCCTCGGCAGTAGTTTCACTTTATTTTTTATGACAGTCACATGGATCTCAGAGCTTTTTTATTTTCTTCTTTGAAAAAACCGTCAATATCACCCTGAGCTGGGAGGTTATGGTTGCACATTCAGGTTGGGCCACCAGCACCCAGATCATCAGTCACAATGTCAGCACACACCAGATTAGTCAAGTTGTTTGCTGTGCTTCACACAGAATGCTGCTGACACATCTCTCCGCTCTGACATTAACTTTCATACAGAATCAAGTGACACCGCCTCATGAATCAAATATTTACCTGCACTGCTGAAATGAACCAGAAAGACTTCTGCTACAACACGGACTCGATGTCCGCTCTTTGTCTCTGTGCATTTTAGCAGGTGGGGATGACGTCTGTGCAACAGGTGTGGAGCTCAAACATGAATACAGATGTTCAGAATCGCTGGCTGCTGAGTGTGCATTAACAATAAACTGTTTGATCTCATCCCATCCCGCCGCATCTCACGCTGTTATCAGAATGCATCTCAGACAGCAGCCGAAGTCGGAGTCGGGCGATATTAGAAGCCATAGAATATGATATTCAGGTTATTGATTTTGTGAGTCTTGCACCGTGGGTGGGTATCTAGAAAACGTGAACATGAGGAAAATGAGAATCTTTATGCCTGTACTCAAAGGGAGATAGCAGAAATGTGGTGCTTTAACATTATTGATGACGTGGAAATCTTTTGGTTCCATTTTGATACGATACTCTTCGAAAACCACAGCTTGCCAGGAAACCAGGTCTGATGACTGCTTCATTAGAGAGCCGTGTTGAATATGTAATTTCACTGACTCGTCTAACGATCACTGATCATGATCGTGAAAAAATTGGACGTACGTCTCTGCTGAGGAGAACAGAGAGTTGGTGGAGGAAGAATGAGTCGTACCACCCCAAAAGCCTTTCTCAGTTTCAGCTGACTGCACCAAATAATGGAAAGCAGTGCCTTGATGAATGGCTGGAGAGCAGTGAGGCACACCACTGCAGCATAAACTGTAAACTGTGAGCGGGATAAAAAGAAAACAAATAACTCCGAAAATAGTTCAAGAGATTACCGACGCCTCCGTTCATTAGGGAATAATAGAGATTATTAACTTTCATGTGTAATGAATTCACCTCTGGTGCTTGGTTTTACAAGAGCTTCTTTGCAAAGAGGGATGTTGGAGGTGCTGAGATCTCATCTGCATGTAAATGAGTGGTGGCAGCTTCATTTAGTGGCTGTTATATGGCGATAAAATCTTCTATAACATCTGGCATCAACATGATATTCAAATATATTTCTACAAATCACACATATCTGTACTGAAGGATGAAGCTAAGGCATGAATTTGCTGATGCAAACTGAAG